CAAAAACAGAAGGAATTGTAGAATTCTAGAATGGTGGAATAGTTTGGGATGGAAGGGACTTTAAAGATCATCCAGTTCCATCCCCACAGCGACACCTTCCACCAGCCCAGGTTGCTCCAACCTGGCCTTGGACACTTCCAGGGATCCAGGGGCAGCCACAGCTTCTCTGGGAATTCTATCCCAGCCCCTCCCCACCCTCCAAGGGGAGAATTCCTTCCTAACATTCCTGTTGTCCTTTAACACTCTGAGGGGCTGAGAATTCTGAGTCCTTTCTGCTGCCCCTGTTTGTGCTCTGGGTGTGCTTGGCATGGCAGAAATCTCTGTGGATAATTTAGAGCCATGAGTAGGTGTGTTGCTATTCCAGTCTCCTGGATTAGATGAGGCTCCCACTGCCAGTTTTCCCAGTGCTCAGGCTGTTGGAAGGGTTTTGAGGAGAAAAAGTATATTCCAGTAGGATTGATCTGCCAGGGAATGTTCCCTCAAAACAAACCCTGTCAGACTTGCAGAAAGAAATCGTGGCCAGGTCTCCTTTCAGTTGTCTTTCCTAGAGAAGCTGTGGCTGCCCCTGGATCCCTGGAAGTGTCCAAGGCCAGGTTGGAGCAAACTGGGCTGGTGGAAGGTGTCCCTGCCCATGGGATCATAAAATCCCAGGATGGTTTGGGTTGGAAGAGACCTCAAAGCCCATCCAGTGCCACCCCTGCCATGGGCAGGGACACCTTCCACCAGCCCAGGTTGCTCCAACCTGGCCTTGGACACTTCCAGGGATCCAGGGGCAGCCACAGCTTCTCTGGGCAACCTGGGACAGGGCCTGCCCACCCTCCCAGCCAGCAATTCCTTCCCAATATCCCATCTAAATGTGACTTTTTGATGTGACTCCTCACCAAGTTCCAAAAGAAAACAAACCCCACAACACAACCCCCCCACATGGAAAACATCCCCTTTCCTGAATCCCACTTCTTGAATCCCAATGGCAGGGAAAAGAAAAGGCTGGAGGATGTTTTTCAAAGCAGGAGAGAAAATTCCACTGTCAGGGATTTGTGCTCATGAACCCTTCACGTGTTAAACTTCCTGACTTTTCCAGTGGCTCAATGGGATGTTGAGAGGGAAGGAGCAGCCAGGTCTGGAGTGGGAGTGCAGGGATGACAGGGAGCAGCTCCAAGGGCTCCTGGAAAACCTGCCAGGGAGGAGAGACAAGAATGGCCTGGATTGGTCTGATTTATGCCTTGTGGGGGATCATTTTAGTGGCTCATGGAATTTCCAACACATTTACATTAATTTCCCTTCTCGGAACGTTCACTTTGCTGCTGTAGTTCTGGGCAGTTTTTATGACTCGCCTTTTTTATTAACTCTGTGGCCTCATCTCCTGCTCTCCCTTCCCTCTCCTACTGCACGTGGGTCTTAAATTATGGACTTAGTGTGGCATTCAGTCATTTTGTGTTCCCACTGTTCCATGCACTCCTTTGACTCCTTGTTTTTCCTTTCCCACCACAAGTATCCAGTGGAGGGTCAGGTGGTGTTGATGTTTGGGAAGACTTTAGGACTTCACTGAGCATCTTGTGTGTGATGTTCAGAACTCAGCTTTCCAAACTTGAGCCCTGGAATCTGCACCTCCCAAGGAAAAAGGGAAACCTGAGGAAGGGACCTTAGGGATCATCTCATTCCACCCCCTGCCATGGGCAGGGACACCTTCCACCAGCCCAGGTGGCTCCAACCTGGCCTTGGACACTTCCAGGGATCCAGGGGCAGCCACAGCTTCTCTGGGCAACCTGTGCCAGGGCCTGCCCACCCTCCCAGCCAGCAATTCCTTCCTAATATCTCACCTAAATCTCCCCTCTTTCAATCTGTACCCCTCCCCCATGTCCTGGCAGTGCAGTTCCTGATGACCAGTCCCTCTCCAGCTTCCCTGGAGCCCCTTCCAGAGGTCCCCACACACCCTTCTCCTCTCCAGGCTGGACAGCCCCAGCTCTCCCAGCCTGTCTCCATAGGGAAGGCTCTCCAGTCCCCTGAGGAATTTTGTGGCCTCCTCTGCACTTGTTCCAACAATTCCACGTCCTCCTCATGCTGGGAGCACCAGAACCCCCCTCTGCCCTGATGAATTGTGGTGTTAATTGGTCCCTAATGACACACACACCTTGAAGCAGGTGCTGCCCTTGCCCTCAGCCTCTCCCTGTGGGTCACTGGGGAGGCTCAAAGAGAAGGCAGAAAGCCCCAAACTCCCCAGGGGGAGATAAAAGGCAGAACAAAAGCTGGCCTGTGATAACATCAGAACATCAGCTCCACAAACTGATAGCCCGGTGGTGTTCCCGTTCCACACAGAGGGTTTGCAGGTCCTTACCCAGCAGTTCCAGGGGCCGAGGGAACATTTCAACACCACCAGGCTTTGGCAACAGGGGGTTGTGTAACTCTGGCTGCTGCTTTCTCCACCAGCTCAGGGTGAAGCTGCTCCTCAAACAGCCCTTGGTGAGCTGGGCAGGGCCACTGAGAGCTGGGGCTTTTCTTTGCAGGTTACAAGTGCTTGATTTGTAATAATTCAGGGTGGTTTGTTCAATACGCTCTGGCCTCGAGCTGAAAGAGGGTGGGGTTATGTGGGATATTGGAAGGAATTCTTCCCTGTGAGGGTGGGGAGGGGCTGGGATAGAATTCCCAGAGAAGCTGTGGCTGCCTCTGGATCCCTGGAAGTGTCCAAGGCCGGGTTGGACAAGGCTTGGAGCAACCTGGGCTGGTGGAAGGTGTCCCTGCCCATGGCAGGGGTGGCACTGGGTGGTCCTTTAAATCCCTTCCAACCCAAACCAGGATTGTGTGATTGTGACAAACCTCCCCCAAAAATGATGGTGGCAGTGATACAATGGAACACACTAGGACTGATTCCTTGGGGTTTTAAGGAGGCAGATGAACATCCCGGTGTGTAACAGTGGGAGACTCGATGTTTATTTTACATCTGGAGAACACACAGGGAAACAAATGGGTTTGTGAGGTGATAAATGTTCTCAGAACAGTCAGTTTGTTTACAGACAACACAGCAGGCTCCTTCCCTGCCTTTTAGATGACAAAGTGACATCTGAAAGGTGGCCTGGAGAGTCCTTTTCCCTGGCTCTCATGACGTGTAGGTGGCCCTGAGGACAGCATTTTAAATGTCTTGCTCTCCATGAGATCTGGGCATTAAAAAGTCCCCCCGAGGTGCTGCAGCCCCAGCTGTGCCAGGGACTCAGGCCCAGCTTAGAGCTGGATTTCTGATGAAAATGCAGCTCCTGGGCCCTGCAAAGCCCAGCCTGTTTCGCCTTCCCTGCCTGGGTGATTCATGGCCATATTTTCCAGGTGACATCCCCACCTCTGGGCTCTGGAGTCACCTTTGGCGCTTCCACATCCCGAGGCTTTCGGACTCAACACCCGAATTCCAGGGCAGGATCCAGATTTCTGTGTGAGCTCAGGGCCTTCAGTGCTGGTTGGGAATTCAGTGTGTTTGTTCCCAGTCCTGATATCTCTGATGGGATGGATGCATCCCTTCCTTCATGGGAAGGCTTGGAAACATGGGAAGCGCTGCCCAGGGAGGTTTGGAGTGCCCAGCCCTGGAGGTGTCCAAGGCAGGCCTGGCCGTGGCACTCAGTGCTCTGGGCTGGGGGACAAGGTGGGGATGGGACACAGGGGGATCCATGGGCTGGGAGGGCTTTTCCAACCTCAGTGATCCTGGGATTTTGAAGTGAGGACATGCAGGAAAAGGTGCTAAGAATTTGGTCTGAGCATTCTTTCACTCTTACCCCAAGGTAACCTTACAAAGCAGAGAGTTTTTCTCCTCAAGGGGGATTTTAGCCCCTGAAAATAGGGAATACTCTCCATCTGGATAGTTATCCATGGTTAAATATTTGTGAAATAAGGTGTTCAACTTAGGGACCGGCTGATTTTTGCAGGTATTCTATAAAACCTGCCGTTTTCCTAAGCCCTGAGTTATATTATCAAGAACTAAGTGCACACAGGGTTTGAGTTCAGTATGAATTTTGAGCTGAAGGCGCAAAGGAAAGTCCCCAAAAAGTTTGTAAAACTTCAGTTTAAATTTAATTAATTATTTGAAATGGTGACAAGTTTTTAAAACGGTTCTTGATTTAAAAAAAAACAGCAACAAACCCCACAAAACCACCCTGCTCCCAAAAAATCCACAAAAATCCTCCAGAAAAACCAAGAGAAACCCTCAAACACGTGTCCCATGCTAATTTTGGGAAATGCAGTGACATTGGGATACAAATATCCCAGAAAATGCCAGAAATGCAGGGTTTATCCCTTATCCCTGCTGTCAGCGCTTCAGGTTGTCCCTTAAATCCCTGGGGAAGCTCCTGTTAAAATAAAGAAACACGAAGCCACCCCAACCATCCATCCCAAAATAAAATCCCTCCCCAGTCCCTGAGGCTTGGGAAGAGTTTTTAATAAGGCGAGAGTGGGAATTAGTCCATATTGTTGCTTTGAAGAAGCTCCCAAATGAATTCCCCCTGGAATGTGAGGAAAATGATTCCTCCCTCCTCATCCCTGAATGCCAACCTGTGGATTTTTTTCCCAGAAAAAAACCCCAGTTGCCCTGAGGGATTTCTTTTCCATTCCCAAAGCCATATGTATATATTTATATAAACCTTATATATATATACATATATAGATAGATAATAATTGTTACTTTGAAAGAGCTTCCAAATGAATTCCTGCTGGAACATGAGGAAAATGATTCCTCCCTCCCCATCCCTAAATGCCAACCTGTGGATTTTTAAACTTTTTTATTCCCCCCCCCAAAAAAAAGACCTGAGGGGTTGCTTTTCCATTCCCAAAGCCTTCGACATTCCCCTCCCGGCCACTCAGATCCTCATCCCGGCGCTCCCCGCCGCTTCCCTTTGCTCACATTTTCCATCCGCGGCCGGGAGGAGCGAGGGCTGCGTGGAATGAGCGCCAGTGGAAAATATTCGCGGGGGCAGCAGCTGCAGGGCTGGATTTTCCATGCGGGGAGCCGGGAACGGGCGCGGGGAGGCGGGCACCGACGGATGGATGGCGTCAGCCCCTTCCAGCCAGCCCGGCGTGTCGTTCCCGGCCCCCTGGCTCGGCTGGAATTCTCCGTCACGCGCGGGGTGCTCCGGGAGGTTCCTTTGTCGGGAGGGGCCGGGCTCGCTGTGCTTTATAAACCCTCAAACCCTGCCGAGCGCGGGCCGGCCAAGATGCACTTGGGGCACGGCCGCGGCTCCCTCAGCTCCCTCAGCGCGCTCCTGGCCGGCCCGGCCGCCGCCGAGCTCTTCGAGCAGCCGGACACGCGGGTACGGCAGCCGGGGGGGGCTGCCAGGGGCTCATTTCGTTAATCCAGGGATTCATTCATCCAGGGATTCATTCATCCAGGGATTCATCGGGGGGAACAGCCCAGCGGAGGGCGCGGAGCTCCCGGTGCCGGCGGGAGCGACCCCCGCGCTGGGAGCGAGGCGGGGTTGGAGCTCCGAGCTCCCCCCTCAGAACTCCTTCACTGGCTGTACTCGGGCTCTCTGAGTTTTTAGGAAGTGCTTCCCTTGTTATTTTGGTAGTTAAAATTCACAAATTCACTTTCTGCTTTTCCTTTTTTTTTTTTTTTTTTTTTTTTGTGCCTGCCGCTGCCGTGTTTTAAAACCATAAGAAATCCTCTCGGGTTTGCGTTTTTAATCGATTGGCATAATGTGATGTATTTAATGGGTGTAAGAGAGTGTATTTAGGGGATAATGATGGGTATAATGTGAGGTATTTTATGGAGATAATGGAAGATATTTAGTGGATATAATGGAATTTATTCAAGGGTTATAAAATGATGTATTTCATGGATATAAGATATTCGGTGGATATAATGGGATATATTCAAGGGATATGATGTGAGATATTTAATGGATATAATATAAGATATTTCATGGATATAAAATATTTAATGGATATAATAGAATGAATTGATATAAGATACTTAAGGGATGTAATATAAAGTATTTAATGGATATAATGGAATATATTCAAGGGATACAAAATGAGATATTTAATGGATATAATACAAGATATTCAATGGATATAATGAAATATATTCCAAGGATATAGTGTGAGATATTTCATGGATATAATGTGAGATATTTCATGGATATAATGTAAGATATTTAATGGATATAATGGAATTTATTCAAGGGATATAAAATGAGATAGATATTTCATGGATATAAGATATTCAGTGGATATAATGGAATATATTCAAGGGATATAATGTGAGATATTTCATGGATATAATAGAATGAATTGATATAAGATACTTAAGGGATGTAATATAAGATATTTCATGGATATAATGGAATATATTTAATGGATATAATGGAATATATTCAAGGGATATAAAATGAGATATTTCATGGATATAAGATATTCAGTGGATATAATGGAATATATTCAAGGAATGGAATATATGGAATATATATAATATATATATAATGTGAGATATTTAATGGATATAATGAAGTATATTCAAGGGATATAAAATGAGGTATTTAATGGATATAATACAAGATATTTAATGGATATAATAGAATGTATTTAATGGATGTAAGATATTTAAGGGATATAATATGAGACATTTAATGGGTATAATGGAATGTAATGGATATATAAGATATTTAATGGATATAACTAATGTATTTGGATATAGTGTAAGATATTTGATAGATATAACAGGATGTGTTAAATGGATATAAGATATTTAATAGATATAAGATAGGATATTTAATGGATATAATAGAATGTATTTAATGGATATAATGTATTTGATGAATATAATGTGTTTAATGGATACAATATAATATACTTAATATATTTAATAGATATAAATCCTAACACAGTGACCTTAAGGACAAAAATCACATTTTATTGAGTTGACCAAGTGACATTTCTCACCTCTATAATCACACACATTAACTATATATATATATTCAAAATATAGTGGGGAAAAATGCTAAGTATAGGAGTAATATAGTAGGAAAAAAATTCAAAATATGGTAGGAAAAAATTCAAAATGTAGTAGTAAAATAGTAGGAAAAAATTCAAAATATAATAGGAACAAATTGCAAAATATAGTAGTAATATAATAGTAATATAGCAGGAAAAAAGTCAAACTATAGTTGTAAAAAATTCAAACTACAGTAGCAAAAAAAGGGCCAAATACAGTAGTAAAGAAATTCAAACTATGGTAGTAAAAAATTCCAAATATAGTAGTAAAAAAAAACCCAATGAGGTAATGTTTCTTTTGGCTTTGTACTGAACTTCTGGTAAGTTTTTAGGGAGAGAAAATACCTGACAGTGGGGGAAATTGGAATGTTTAATGTCTTGCCATCAGGGCAGTGAGGTCTGTGAGTGGTTCTGAGTGTGAGCAGAACACTTGGCAAGAGCCTGGAATCTCCTCCTCTGGCCTGGAATTCTGCAGGAAGAGGGGAAGCACTTTTTATATAAATCAGATTAAAAATAGCAATAAAGCAGGAAATGTTCATGGGCTTTGCTCTGCTGAGTCACTGGAGAAAATCACATTTCCCTTGCAAATATATTTGCAGTTTTGTCTCTTAAAACTTGTGTCCTCCTGGAAAATTCCACACTTGGCCAAAGGCTTGGCAGGCTTTCTTCCAGGCCTTTGGATATTAACTTTATATGGAGCATTTCTTTCCAAAATCTTCCTCCTGTTGTTACATTGGGGCATCTTGAACACTTAATAATTATTATAATATATAATTAGTCATTATAAGATATTTATTAGTAATTATTTTAATTTAGATATTTATTATTTATTATATTATTTATTATATTATTTATATATTATTATATTATTATATTTATTTTAATTATTTACCACGCTAATATATTTATTTTTATTATCTATTATTGTAATATATTTCAATAGATTTTATTATTATTTTAAATATTTTAATATTATTATTTTATTAGTCTATTAATATTTATTATTAATTTTACTAATATTTAAATTTTAAATGCATTGTTTTAAATTAATTTATTAATAATTTTAAATTAATTTATTAATAATTTTTAATAAGGAGAGGGAAAAGCTATAGAGAAAAACAAGTGGGAAGGTCGAAAAATTCAATATTTCCTACAAATATTCTTAGAGAAAACAAAATCCATCTGTTACAAAACCCCAAAATTGGTGGCAGGGTGACTTTTTATCTTTCCCTTTATTTCCTGGAGATAAACCACATCTCAAATCCCCTTTTCCCGTTGTTTTTGTGTCCCCCCAGGCCAAGTTCGAGTCCCTTTTCCGCCCCTACGACCGGGAAATCACCTTCCAGTATTTCAAGAGCTTCAAGAGGGTCCGGATCAACTTCAGCAACCCCCTGTCTGCAGCAGATGCCAGGATCCAGCTGCACAAGACAGAATTCCTGGGAAAAGAGATCAAGCTCTATTTTGCCCAGGTAAAGCTTCTCCCGCTTTTTCTTGGAAGCTCCGAAGGGAAACTCCCTCGGAAAGTCCGGCGCGTTCCGGGTGGGCCCAGACAGAGCTCGCTGTGTTTGTGTCCCTGGGGATTGTTTGGATGGCCTGGGAGATGGTGGAAAAGCCTGGAATGTGCAGCTCTGCCCCTCGGCATCTGCAGAGCTGCACATTCCAGGCTTTTCCAGCACAGCCTGGTCTTGGAGATGTCCATGGAAGCAGCTGTGGAGATGCCAGAGAAACTCTGGGAATCAGGGTGGGGTTTGGGAGCTGCTCAGGGTTTCCCGCTGGAAAGTGAATGGGAAGATGAATCCTGGTGTGGGAAAAGGAATCCTGGTGTGGGGAAAGGAATCCTGGTGTGGGGAAAGGAATCTTGATGTGGGAAAAGGAGTTCTGGTGAGGGAAAAGGAATCCCGGTGTGGGAAAAGGAATCCTGGTGTGGGAAAAGGAATCTCTGTGGGAAAAGGAGTCCTGGTATGGGAAAAGGAGTCCTGGTGTGGGGAAAAGGAATCCTGGTGAGGGAAAAGGAATCTCTGTGGGAAAAGGAATCCTGGTGTGGGGAAAGGAATCCTGATGTGGGAAAAGGAATTCCAGTGTGGGAAGATGAATCCCGGTGTGGGGAAAGGAATCCTGGTGTGGGAAAAGGAATCCTGGTGAGGGAAAAGGAATCCCGGTGTGGGGAAAGGAATCCCGGTGTGGGGAAATGGAATTCCGGTGTGGGGAAAGGAATTCCAGTGTGGGGAAAGGAATCCTGATGTGGGAAAAGGAATCCTGGTGTGGGGAAAGGAGTCCTGATGTGGGAAATCAATCCTTGTGAGGGAAAAGGAATCCCGGTGTGGGGAAAGGAATCCCAGTGTGGGAAATGGAATCCTGGTGTGGGAAAAATTAATCCCTGTGTGGGGAAAAGGAATCCCTGTGTGGGAAGATGAATCTTTGTGTGGGAAAAGGAATTCCTGTATGGAAAAATTAACTCCTGTATGGGAAAAGGACTCCTTATGTGAGGAAAATGAATCCTTCTGTGGGGAAAAGGAATCCTGGTATGGGAAAAGAAATCCTTGTGTGGGAAAAGGAATTCCTGTATGGAAAAATTAACTCCTGTATGGGAAAAGGAATTCCTGTATGGAAAAATTAACTCCTGTATGGGAAGAGGACTCCTTGTGTGACGAAAATGAATCCTTCTGTGGGGAAAAGGAATCCTGGTATGGGAAAAGAAATCCTTGTGTGGGAAAAATGAATCCTTCTGTGGGGAAAAAGAAACCTTCTGTGGGAAAAGGGATCCCTGTCTGGGAAAAGGAATATCTGTGTAGGAAAAGGAAGTCCTGTATGGGAAAATGAATCCTTCTGTGGGAAGATGAATCCCTGTGTGTCTGTTTTGGATGTCCCAGTTCATTTCTGTCCCTCCTGGAATTCCCCCCCCCCTCTCTTTTGTTAATGACTTTCCCCCCCGTTTGTCATTAAAGCCAATATCCAGCTTCCCCCCACTGCGGGATTTTAAGGACAGAGGTTTTGTTTTCAGGGAATTTAAGGGAACTTCTTTGGAAGTTCCGTGGGAATTGGACGTGGTGGCTGGGCCGTGCAGTCCTGGCTCGTGCTGCCACCCTGAGTCCCTGTGAGAGAACAACACCTCTGCCAGCCTTAAAATTCCTCGGATAACAGTGCCACACCTTTGGCTTTCCTGCCCTTTTTTTATTCCCAGACTTTGCACATTGGAAGCTCCCACCTGGCACCCCCGAATCCGGACAAGCAGTTCCTGATTTCCCCTCCGGCCTCTCCCCCCGTGGATTGGAAGCAGGTGGAAGATGCAACTCCAGTCATCAACTATGACCTCTTATATGCCATTTCCAAGTTGGGACCAGGTGAGGAGGGGTAAAAATCGGGATGTGGAGCGAGGGAAAAAACCCCTTTGAACTTCCTGAGCTTCCCAGACTTTTCCAAGAAATCCTTACCTCCCAATTAAACTGGTAATGTCAGAAGAAGTTCTTAGTAAAAACAGTGATTTCTTACACGTGTAGGACTTGAAATCTGTCCATCCAGGATCCTGCTGATGAATTCCATAGTTTTAAATTAAATCACATATTTTTATCAAAGATTTTAATTATCCTGAAGCCAGTTTTGGAAGCAAAGCTGGTTTTGATGGAACAGATTGAAGGAATAGATAATATAATTTATAATATTATAAATAACAAGACAGCTGCTGTTCGTATGAAAAGTGCAGAGTTGCTGTTCCTTTACTCCAAGCTTTCCTTGGAATTTTTTTAGGAATACCAGAAAGAAACCTGAAGCTCTTAAAATAAATATTTAAGGCACTCCAAGTTGGCCCTTTTCTCCCTGTTGTTGAGCTCCCCTAAAATTCCTGGGAAAACAGAGCTGGAAGAGCTGAGTGCAGGTCAGCTGTGCTCTTACGGAGCTTGAGGAGTGACGAGGCCAGGGAAAAAAGGAAAAAATCAGGGAAGAGCTGAAAAGAACCAGTTTGTTCCTTCCCTGATTTAACATGAAATTAAAACTACCTGAAGCCTGGGTTTGTAATTTATTTTTATTTAGTTGTATCGCATTATTTTGTGTTTTAAATGCCGAGTCAGCGCTCAACGAGAATCCCTCGGCGCGGTTTTATTCCCTCGCTGATCTTCACACCTTAAAAAAAATATCAACAAAAACAAACCCAGACCAACCAGTCAGTAAATTTTTGGAGGTTCTTTGGGTGCGAGCTGGGTGTTGTTCTGTGCTGCAGGGGACAAGTACGAGCTGCACGCCGCCACCGCCACCACCCCCAGTGTCGTGGTGCACGTGTGCGAGAGCGACCACGACAGCGACGACGACGGCGGCGGCGACAACGACGCCAAGAAACCCAAACCCAAAATCATCCAGACCAGGAGACCGGATTACACCCCTGCCCATCTCAGCTGAGCTGCTGCTGCTGGTTGGGTGTTTTTCCCAAGGGTTTTGAGTAGGGAGCTTCCAGGGGGAAGCCGCGGAAAGGGCGGCTCGCAGGTTTGGCGGCCGGAGAAATTCCCGTCTTAGGTTTGCTCAGAGAAAATAAAGGAAGCTTCCTCCTTATTTTTTTGAGGCTGCAGGTTGATCCATGGGGGCATTCCCAGATCGCTGGGAGAACAGGATGGTGTTTTGAGACAAAACAGGTTTGTTTTGGGGGGGTAAAGCAGCTGGGGGAGCTTTCCTTGCCCGACTCTTCAATCCTCCAGTCATGTGGAAAACCTCGGGATAACAGGGAAGGTTTTAAGGGTGAAAAGCGTGGGAATTGTACTTTTTCTTATCCTGCATTTTGTGCATGTGTATTCGTGGGTCTTCTGAAGTAACTTGGGAGTTCTTTTCTAGGGTTTCTCACGAGCTTCAGGAAACGGGGGAGTATTTCAAGTATTTATTGTCCGGCACCCCCCAGATTTCCCTCTAGATGTGTAAATACCTATATTTATATCTGTTTTTATCAGCACTGCCTTTCCAGCAGGCACAAAACTCCTTCAGCCCCTCGGTTTAGGGGCAGTGGGACTCGTGCTTTTAAAAATCTGAACCTCTGAAATGCCTCCAGGGGAGTTTGTCTGGAAAAAAAATTTAAAAAAGTGCAATGGGAGCCTTGCTGAAATAAATGGATTTTAAGTTATTTAAGTTCTAGATAATTTATATCTTCAATAACGTTTGTTTGGTAGCTTTGACTTGGGGAGGGGGGGAATAAAGGACTTTTAAGGGTATAAATAAAGCTAATGGTGCATATTCTGAATTTTTTCAGGGGAAAAAATGGTGATGGAGGGACTTGAACCTGCTTTTTTTTTTTTTTTTTGTGAGAAAAGGTTTAATGGTGATTGTAAAATTCCACACAGGGTGTAAAAACAGGGAGGGGAGAGATGGTGCCTTTTCCTTGGCCGTTCCTGCTCCAGGCTGCACACTTGGATCTTTTTCTACCGGCTTTGTATATCCAGAAATCCCAAACTTTTGTTAGCTTTGCCTCCAAACTGAGCTGGTGTTAAATGCTTTAATGCCAAGTAATGCACATTTCAATAATGGGAATATGTGGGAGAAGCTTTTAGGGGTTTTTATATTGTTCCAGACAGTCCTGATAATCCAAATTTCAAGGCAAATAAAAGAGGAGAGAAATGTATTTTATTACTTGTTTTGTTTGTTGTTTTCTTTTTTTAAACTGGAGATCCTCACCTTGAAACAGGTTGTCAGTATTTTTTTGGCAGAGACAGGAGCTGATTTTTGTGGAAAATATCTTTTATGGGTCTTGGGAAGTTCGTTGGAAGTTTCTCACCGTGTTTTTTGGGAATCCAAACGTGGTTCCCTCTTGCTTTGCTTTGGCCACAGTTGGTCTGAGAAGGAGTTGGAGCAAATATTGACTTAAATACCCTTGTTTTTTTAAAAAATAATACCTATTTTAAAGCTGAAGATGTGGGATGGAGCCCCTTCCAAGCTGGGAAAGAAGGACTGGCACTGCCAAGTGACAGAGGAATCAGTGACTGGAGAACGGGAATACATGGAATTTTCTGCCCTGGCTTTGATCTCTGTTCCCAGGAAACTGGAAGAAACCCTGGTCCTTGGTGTTAAAAAGAGCTAATTCCAAGTATTGCTGGAGCTGGTTTGTGGACAAAACAGGGGAAATTCAGGTTATTTTGGGGGTACAACATTCAGCTGGGTCCGTGTCCCGTGTACCAGCCCCCAAAATAAAGGAATAAAGCAGGTTTGCCACAACTGCCTTTAAGCCTTTCCAAGATTTTTTTTTCCCCATGTTCCTCAAATTCCTGCTGGACTTGGTGTTTCATCCCATTTAAAATGGAAGAATTCCTGTCTTTTTTTCCCACCATGGCAAATCAGAACATGACTTTTCCATCACAAACCCAGGGAGCTGCTGTTCTGTTTCCTAAATAAAAAACAACAACAAACAGTGCTGCTTTTCAGCTAAACCCACCAAAAGACTTGATTTTTATCCTTTCCTACACTGAGGAAGTGGCCACTGGAAAGCCTGGAAATCTTGGAATGGTGACAGGGTGTTGGTTGTATCTCCTTGGCTTTGCCTGTTCCTTTTCCTTTGATTTTATTTTTATTTTTATTTTTAATGTTCAACTGAATGCTTAGTTGGTATTTTCTACAGTTGTGTAGCACGGGGCATATTTAAATTAAAATATTTTGTTGTCTTCTTCTTGTACAGCTGTCGTGGTGTTTGTGCAGGAGAGGGTTTGCTCCAAAATGGGGATTTGAAGCTTCCCAACAAGTGATTTGCCAAGGGGGTGGGGAGGATTTATTGCCAGCTCACACCCTTAATAACCAAATAAACCTGCAGCCCAGGCCTGTCCAGGGTGGGGAAGGACAGAACTCCAGCAGCTCCCTCTCCAGCCACTGGAACTGGAGTTCCAGCCACACCACTGGAACAGTTCCCACCTGGGTTTTGCCCTGGGCACAATCCCTGCTCTGCCAGCTCCCAGTGACACCTTGGGGAGGACAAACCCGTCCCCTTTGCTTCTACCCTGCCTTGCCCAAGAGGCTTTTTTTGGCAGGAAATGACCCCTTTCCAGTGCTTTTTTTAATTCATAAATCGGCTCAAAAGAAAACAAACCCACCAGTGGTGAAGACCTTCCCCAAGAGACTCCTAAATTTTGACACTCAAGCTCTCAAATAACATCAGATTTGGTACTTACAGTTAAGGCAAGGCCACAGAGGTGACTCCAGTGACAACAGGGGGACAGGACGGAGCTGCCAGGGCCAGATTTATCTTCCCTTGATGGAATTTCCATGGATAAAGTGGTGGCTGTCACACTTCAAACCCGTTGTCACCTTGAGTTGGGCCAGGAATTCAGTTCGTTTGGGAAGGGAACGGAGCTGGGGAAGGGTTTGGAGAACGTGAGGAGCAGCTGAGGGAGCTGGGGGGTTCATCTGGAGCAGAGGAGGCTCAGGGGGGACCTCATTGCTCTCTGCAACTCCCTGACAGGAGGGGGCAGGGAGGGGGGGTCGGGCTCTGCTGCCACATCCCAAGGGAAAGGAGGAGAGGAAATGGCCTCAAAGTGCCCCAGGGCAGGGTCAGAGCAGAGATCAGAAACAATTTCTCCCTGCAGGAGTGCTCAGGCCTTGCAAGAAGTGTCCCAGGGAGGTGGTGGAGTCCCTGTGTGTGGGAGTGTCCCAGAGGTGTCTGCATGTGGCCCCTGGGGATGTGGATTAGGGGTGATCCTGGTGGTGCTTTGTGACTGGATGATCCTGGAGGTCTCCTCCAACCTTTCTGATTGTGGAATTAAAACCTCAAAACGCGACTGAATGGGTCCATTCCAAGGATTTCCAGAGCTCCCTGGAGGTGCCCGTAGGTGGAGCTAAATACCCACCAACAGCTGGAACTGGGACCTCACGACTCGACCTCCAGCTCAGGCTCCCACCCCGACAGCAGGAGTGGAAAAAATCCTCCAGGTCCCTCCCACCCCAACCCATGCCATGGTTTTATGATCAAACCTTTGCAAACTCTCTTTTCTTCTTTGTTCTTCTTACTTTAAAGGAGCCCCCGGAGTGAAAACTGGCTGGCTCCAGCTGGGAAAGGGGAATTTCGGGTGCTCAGCTCCCTGTAGCCTCTGGATAAAGTGATGCTGATTCCCAGGGTGTATTAACTGAGGGATAAAACCATCCAAAATAGTGCCTTAGGTTGATTTATCCTCAGGCTGATGTGAAGAGGACCAGCTACAATTGTCACCCTGGAGAAGGGAAGGCTCCAGGGAGACCTTAGAGCCCCTTCCAGTGCCTAAAAGGGATTGTGAAAAGGAGGGAGAGGGACATTTTCCAGGGTTGGAGCTGAACTGGGCAGGATTGAGCCTCGTGGTAATTAAATTACTGATCCACTTATTGATGTTATTTGAGTTGGGAGAATACATGACTTGACAAAAAGCAGGGTTTTCTCCTCTTGCTTTCCACTTTTAGGATTTTTGAGCACTCTGAGGGAATCTTTCAGGATGGACACAGGGCTGTTGGAAATCCCAGGAAATCCTGGGATTCTGCTGGGTTTATTCACTTTGACAATACTAAACCATGAAAATGATATTTCTAAGTCACTGAACAAAGGCCCCAAAGCAATTTGCTGAGTAACCAGGACTTTTCCAGGTCCCTTCAGCTCTGGGAACTGTCTCCATTCCACAGGGATATTTTTTCCACAGCTTTAATAACAGGCAGAGCTGTAAAGCAGCTCCCGAAGGCAGGGCAGGAATCCTGGCTGTTCCAGCAGGTCCTGGCTGAGCAGCAGCTCCAGTGGCTCCTGCTGCTGAAGGAGGGTGGTTTAGCAGCTGGAATCTGTGGGATGGAAAAGCAGGTGTAAATCCCTCTGCAGTGTAAATCCCTCTGCCAACCCGTGCCGTGTGGGAGAGCAAGAATTCCATCCTGGGCAGCAGCCAGGGTGTCCCATGGAGAGGGAATGGCTTCAAAGTGATAAAAAGCAGGGCTAGATGGGATCCTGGGAAGGAATTCCTGGCTGGGAGGGTGGGCAGGCCCTGGCACAGGTTGCCCAGAGAAGCTGTGGCTGCCCCTGGATCCCTGGAAGTGTCCAAGGCCAGGCTGGATAAACTTGGAGCACCCTGGGCTGGTGGAAGGTGTCCCTGGGGTGGCACTGGATGATCCTTAAGGTTCCTTCCAGCCCAAACCTTGATCCCATGGATCAGGGAGCAGATGCAGCCCTGGGGGTGACTCAGCAGGGCAGATGCCAGCCCTGGGTGCCAAGGACAGGAGCACCAGCACCAGCCCTCCCCCTTCCTACTCACCCTCCCTCCCAGCCCAGCCTGCAGGAAGGACAATTCCCAGCACTCACATCCATTCCCAGCTGCCCTGGGGGATAAAAAAAAAATCGATTTCCAGCAGGATTTAATTTGTGAAGTGTTCTGGGAAGGAGCTCTGAGAGCTCCCCCAGACTTCCTGAGCTGGGAGCTCTGGGGTTGGGGCTGTTTTATTGACCCCCCCCAGTTCGTGCTCAGGGATTCCTTCCTGTGGCTGCAGACAGAGGCTTTCTGGAGCCTGATGTTTGTTTGCAGAGGATAATTAATCACAGGCTTTGATTAGTCCTTCCCTCTTCCTCCTCCTCCTCCTCCTCCCAGCCCTCACCTGGGACCTGCCCAGGAGCCCCCAGACCTCGATCCCTGTCGGCAACCTCGGATGTGGGAACTGGGCCATGGATGGAAGGAGTCCCAAAGTGGGTCAGGTCTGGAGAGGGAGATCAAGTGCCAGGTGCTTTTGGGGAACCTTTGGGAATGGAAGGAAATCACGGGAATCCCAGAGTCATTAAGGTTGGAAAAGACCTTGCAGGTCATCGAGGCCAACTGTCAACCCAGCACCACCACCTTCACTGTGTCCATAACTGCCATATCCATGTTTTTTGGACAGTTCCAGGGATGATGACTCCACCACTCCCCTGGACAGCCCAGTCCAAGGTTTTACAACCCTTTCTGAAGAATTTTCTTTACTATCCAATCTAAACCTCCCCTGGAGAAACTTGAGGCCATTTCCTCTCGTCCTGTCACTTGTTACCTGGCAGAAGGGAGGGATGAGTTAATTCCTTGCCCTGGTCTGTGGGGAGGAAAGGTTGGGTATTTCAGAGACTCATGGAATGGTTTGGGGTTGGAAGGGACCTTAAAGATCATCCAGTGCCATCCCCTGCCATGGGCAGGGACAACTTCCACCAGCACAGGGTGCTCCAAGCCCCATCCAACCTGGCCTTGGACACTTCCAGGGATCCAGGGGCAGCCACAGCTTCTCTGCCCAACCTGTGCCAGGGCCTGCCCACACTCACAAGGAGGAATTCCTTCCCAATATCCCATCTATTCCTGCCCTCTGGAAGTTTGAAGCCATCCCCCCTTGTCCTGTCCCTCCAGCCCTTGGAAATAGTCTCTCTCCATCTTTCCTGGAGCTCCTTCAGGCCCTGCAAGGCCACACTCAGGTCCCCCCAAAGCTTCTCTTGTCCAGCTGAACAATCCCAGCTGTGCCAGCCTTTCCTCCCAGCAGAGCTGCTCCAGCCCTGGGATCCTCTTGGTGCCTCCTCTGGGTTCTCTCCAGCAGCTCCCTGTGCTCCCTGTGCTGTTCCTTGGAGTCCCTCGTTCTCCAACCCAACACATTTACATCCTTTCAACCCCAGTTTATGGCCTGTTATCAGTGCAGGTGGAAACCCAGGGGATTTTTGCTGTCAAGACAGAACAGAGGCCTTTTGTGCTGGGTTTGCTCTGGGTGGAGCTGGGGAGGGAGCCCCCTTCTTCCTCCTTTGTGACTGGGAAACCCCCCCCCCCATTATTTGCCCTGAGTGTGCCCTGAGTGCAGTTTGCTTTGCTGGGCAGAAAAAGAGCTCTGGGTTGGCCCAGCTGGGGTGGGGATGGCGCTGCTGGAAGGTTGGGCTGGGCCACACAGAGCTGGGCTGTGCCCTCCAGAGCATCAGAGATTGGAGAACACTTCCCTGCAGGAGTGGTCAGGCCTTGCAAGAAGTGTCCTAGGGAGGTTTGGAGTCCCTGTGTCTGGGAGTGTCCCAGAGGTGTCTGCATGTGGCCCTTGGGGACGTGGATCAGGGCTGATCCTGGTGGTGCTGGGGGATGATCCTGAAGGGCTCTTCAGTCCTGGATGACTCTGGGGTTCTGTGAGTCCCACGTTTTACAAGGTGATTTAATGCTGATCTCAGTTTAAAAAGAAAACAAAACCCCAAACCCAACCCCAAACCCACCCCGTGGTTCTGATTCCCGAGGCCAAAGGAGACCCCGATCCCACCCAAGGGTGTGGATGTTGCAGCTTTAATGAGCAGGGAAAGGGTTGATTGAATTTTTGGTTATTTCAGGTTTGTCTCTGGGTAATTTTCAGCAGTTTTGCTGCCCTGGTTTATTCCCTGGGGTCGATGAGCAGCACTCAGGTCATGAACATCTCTTCAGGGCCAGGTTGGATGGGGTTTGGAGCACCCTGGGCTGGTGGAAGGTGTCCCTGCCCAGGGCAGGGGGTGGCACTGGGTGGGCTCTGAGGTCCCTTCTAACCCAAACCCTTCCATGATTCTACTGATACAATTTACTCATGACTTTTTTGGGTGAGATTCAAAGGAAAAAATCCCATTTTTCTGTTCTGTGGGAACATCAGGGGTCGAATTTGACCTTGAGACGTAGCACCAAGGTGTAAACAGAGCAAACAAAACCGCTGTTTTATTGCTGCTGCTTTGCCCTA